CCCCTGCTGGGGACCTGGCGCGCAGCCCAGGCCTGCGCCCTGACCTGGGAATCCACGGAGCCGCGCCCCGCGGGCTGTGCAGAAGTTCTGTCAACGTTTATTTGAGCCAAACAGAGGCGATGCCTGGAAGCAAAATCTCAACTGATAACGTGACCTCATGTGTAGAAAACTAAATAGTTCACAACAAACTTGATATAACTACTAAACAAGTTCAGAGAAGCCGCAGGATAACGAAGCAGCCGCACTTCCAGGCGCTACTTTGGAAATCCAATGAGGAGATTAAAAAAATCATCCCAGGAGACAGAAAAGTTGCACCTTGAAACTGGAAGACATTAAAGACACGAATGAGTGGAAAGACTGTGTCCATGGAGTGGCCTGCTTAGCGCCGTGACAGTGTCCACACCGTGGGAGGGGCAGCCGAACCCGCGCCGCCCCCGTCGAGACCCGAGGGCGGCATTGGCAGAGCCAGGGGAAGCCGTCCCACCGCGTGGGTGGCACGCGGAAGGGCCTTCGGCAGCAGCGATGTTCGTCTTGAGGAGACGCCAAGCTGGAGGCCTCGCCCTTCCTGAGCCGAACGCGCATTTGAGCCCCAGGCATGTGCACGGCACGTCCCGGCGTGAGGAGAGACTCACCGCCCCACGGACCGCGCAGAGCCCGGAAACAACCCCCTCCCCGCCCCCGCCCCCCCGTGGTCAGGTGGCCTGGGACAGCAGCCGAGAACACGCTGTGGCAAAGAGCGGCCGCCCCGGCAGGTAAGCCAGGGAAAACGGGGCGCACACCGGCAAACAGTGAGGCGGAGCCGTCTGTCACCCCCTCGGCAGGCGTCAGCTCGGGAGGACTAGGGACCTCAACGCTTGGCCCGAAGCTGCACAGGCAAAGTCCTCATCGTGCTGCCCGGGGCCACCCCGTGGCACAGCCTCGAGAAGCAGCAGCAGACAAGGGAGCCAGCCACAGGGACCTTGGGGCTTTCCGTGCAGCGGCGGCGAACATCAGTGGAGGTGCCGCCTGTGCGCGAGAGAATGTGTGCGAACCCCACATCGGGCACATTCACAGCGGGCCATGCAGGCCCCCCGGTCCCGTAGTTTGCGTTTCCCCACGTTGATTTCACAGAGAGACCTACGTTAGTGCCCGTTTTCTGTAACGGGGAGAAGCCCGGGGAGGGTTCTCGCTTTCTGTTCGTGCCCCAGCGGGGGCCACGGCGCGGGGTGGGGGGGGGCGCACCTGCCCCGGGGCTGACCTGCCCGGGCTCCGTGCTGCTCAGCTCAACCGCGCGGGCACCTCCCGCTGCGGGGGTGCGGGGACCCTGCAACGACCTCCTGCACCTCAGCCCCAGAAAGCGGCCTGGTGAAGGGCTGGGCAACGAGCTCGCGGATACATTTTCCGGAGGAAATTTACAACCGGCCTGCAAACGTGTGTAAAGATCCTCAACACGACGAATCGTCATGGAAACGAGATAGAAGGCCCGGTGGGCGGTCACCTCCTGCCTGCCAGGGTGGCTGCTGTCGGAAAAACAGCAGGTGACGAGCGTCGCACGGCCGTGGCCCCACCGGAGCCGCCGGCACCTTGGTGGAGACGCCACACGGCAGGGCTGCCGTGGGGAACGTGACGGGGGCGCCTCAAACACTGCCGCGCAGCCCCACAGCCCCATTCTGGGCACATTTAGACCCAAACGCGGCAACAGCCCTGCTGCGCTTCAGAGGACGTGTGAAGGAAACGGGGCGAAGCAGTGGGTGCAGTTCCCCACTGGCTTCGGCTTGTGGGTGCCTTGCGGCCTGAGACGTTCCTCGGAAGGACGTTGCTGTGTCTGGACTGTGGCCGGCGAAGCCGCGCGCTGTGTTTCTTCGTCGGGATCGCGTGTGCCAGGCTCTTAGAAGAGAAACTGGAGTGAGTGTCCGCCTGGGTCCACCGTGGCTGCCGCCGTGCAACACGCAGACGGGGTGGCGTGGGCGGCAGAGGCCCGGGATTGGCTTGGGGGGCTCGGGGCCTGTCCCTGCCGCCGCTCCCGCGCGCCCTGTCCCTGCGCATGTGCCTGGGAGCTCTGGGGTCCTGAGGGGTGCCCCCAGCACCACCTGCCACAGGCCCTGCCCCCCATCCCATCCCATCCCAGAGGGGCAGGGTTTGGGGGCGCAGACAGCCCCACGGCGCCTTCGTGCTGCAAAGAGTGAGGTGTCCCCTGCTCAAAGCCCCCGCCAGCCCGTGTCTCCGGGAGGGCGGCCTTGCAGCCGTCACTGGGGACCCTCGCGGGGCGCGCGGGTTCGTGCGGGGCGGCTGCCGCGCGTGGGGCTGGCTCTTCCCGTCCTTGCAGGGGCTCCGCGAAGTTGCACAGCTGAGGTTGTGGCTTTTGATCTCAGACCAGTGAAGGCCTCCGCACGAATTGATCTGTTTGCTTTCATCAGGCAATCAAGATTATATGAAGGTTATAATTTACACAGGTTTCATAAGTGCTAAGTTGTCATTGAAGACTTTACCTTTTATATCAGTGAAAGAATTTCTTAAAAATTTTGTTGCGGGGAGTAAACATTGCGTTTTCCACGCTGTCTAGATCATACTCTAAATAAGTAATCACCACTATTGATAGACAATGTGCCGTTTCGTTTTCAAACAGCTGTTTTCAAAGGACACAAGGTCGATGTTCTTCAGGTGGGAAACGATTAAAAATGCAGCTTAGAAGCTCCGCACACCTGGGCAACGCGTGCACGAGGCACAGAAGCGAAGCGCGAGCCCTGTGTTCGCGCCGCCTGCACTGCTGGAAGCGGCACGGCACCCGGGCCTGCCCAGCGACCGCTCCGCAGGAAAGGGCCACACTGGATGGGAGCTCGGTCGCCTGGGGACACATCACTGGCCGACAGGTTCTGTGTGGCTGAAACGATGGCCGTCCCTCCCCAGAGGACGTGGGCCTCCAACGGGACCGAGGGTGCCGGCGCCCTGGGACTGGGTCCCTTGCCGCTGGGGGCGCGGCCTCCCTTCGGGACAGTGCCACCCGGGGCTCCACAGGGAAGGAAGACCAGAGGACAAAGGACAGGTCCCCCACACACAGAGTCTCCGGCACAAGGAGGGGACCAGAGGGTGGCCAAGGGCTTTCGCAGGCTGGCCCTGTGATTCCCAGACGTTTTACAGAAACTGCAGCCCCTGGCAGGTGCGGGGCCTTGTGCCATGAGGCTGCGTTGGGTCCCCGTGAGCCCAGGCAGAGCAGTTCGCCTCCTGGACGCTGCTGAAGTGACAGTTGGCCAGGCAACAAAGATTCCTTTGTGCCTCTCAGGCCACCGGCCGGCTCCCCCCCGCCCCCGCCCCCGCCCCCGCCCCCGCCCCCGCCCCCGCCCCCAGCAGGACTTTGGTCTGCCTGACACATTAAAATTGCAGAGACAACCTGAGACCCGGTGTGGAGCCGGCTCGGTGTCGGGCGCGTCCTCCTGGAAACGAGAAGGTGCTTTCCACGCTGCAGAGTCTGTACCTTTCTCTGCTGCCCGTTGTACCGCTTGGCCTTTGTTTATTGCTTTATACAACTGCTGATGCTGGGGAATATTGGAACTTTATCATTACATATTGAAATTGTCCCTACTATTTTGCCAAGGTTTTGTTTGTTTTTCAAATTCACAAAGGACCATAATAAAATGTGATTAAAAGAGGCAGTTCCCAGGTCCCCGCCCAGTGGGACTTGGCTTTCAAGTTGTCACTGAACGGTTCAGGCGACTCCTCCACATCCTTGACTTCATGCTCCCAACTGAGTGCTTCTCCTCCAGGGAGCAGGACGAGGCTGTGGGGGCGGCTCCCCCCGCCCCAGGGTGTTGGGGCCAGGCTGGGGGCGCCTGCTCCCCGTAGCCTCAGAGAGAGAGGGGCCCACGGGTCCGGCTGCTGCTGGGCCGAGCGGTGGCTTCCGCCAGTGCCTGGAAGGTGGCCCCACTCCGGCCGCGACCCCGACAGGTGTTTGCAATGAGCTGGGCCGTGCGGTGCTGTGGCTGAAAGTCTGGTTTCCTCGCGGCTTTTGCGTCCGCGTTCCCTCTTGGGGCCTGGCCGTGGGCCCCGTGCGGCCACTCCGGGTCTGCCTCTAGCTCCGGAACATTCTCAATATTCTACTACTTTTCCCGTGAGAGTCATAGGGGACGTGTCAACGTGTCAACTGTCTTGTAGCTGCGCTTCCGCTTCCATCCAGCGACGTTTCTGTGCCACCGCCAGTCACTTCTCACCGTCAGTGACTCCGAGTCCTGGGCCCCCCAGGCAGCCCCGGCGAAGCCCCTCCTCCCTGCGTCCCCCCACGTGCAATGAGGGGTCGGCTATGGGCTTTGCGTCCTCAAGTCTCCTGGGTGCCCGTCCCCCGAGACCCCTGCCCCAGAGCGGCGGCCATCCCGCGCTGGGCCCTTCACCTGTGAGTTCCTTCCCGCACGGCAGCTTTTCGAGGCGCAATGTGGCCCTAAGCAAGTTACGTCTGTGCCCCTAGAAGCGCCCAGTGTGTGTCTCCCTGAGAGGGGTGAGGAAGAGCCGCTCAGACCCCGTCCCGTCCTGTGGCTCAGGTGAGGGGCGCCCGTCGGGAAAGCTGTGACAGCTTGAGGACGCACCGCTCGGCCCGGAATGCACCCCCAGGGCGGGGCCTGCCGGTCCATGCCCGGATGCACACGGCGCCCCACCCCATGTGCGGGGCAGGAGGCGGGGCCTAGGGAGGCATCGGCTGTGAGGTGCAGCCCCGGGTGGGCTTTCCTGCCCTGGGAGGACAGGAGGGGACGTCCCCCGCGAGCCAGGAAATCCTCACGGGCACCAGATCTGCCCACACGGTGACCGGCCGCAGCCTCCGGGACCGGGAGGAGCAGAGGGTGGCTTCAGCCCTGGGCTGTCGCTCCCGAGCCGTGCAAACGGCCAACCGAGACGCACGGCGCGACAGTTAAAGCTTGCGGGGCAGCCGCCGGGGAGGCTCTGCAGGAGTTGCCGGCCGCCCCGTTCTCTGCCGTGGGTCCGGGGCACACGGGCCACAAGCATGCATTTTGATCTGTCTCTTAACCTTTGATCAGGCGCAGGGAGCAAGTTTCCGAGGTTGGAAGGACGTGACCTCGCTGTTCAGCAACGATGACGAGCAGCAGCTGCTGGGAGGATGCAGGTCTCCCAAGGCCAGGGGGTAAGTCGCGCGGGCCGGGCCGTCGGCCCTCGGCTGCCGGGGCAGGCGAAGCTCCCGGTCCCTGGCTCTGCCCCCCGCCCCCCGGCAGACAGCACGCAGCACGGACCCGAGGGCCGCAAAGCCGCTGAGCCATGGGGGCGCCAAGGAGGGTGACCCCGTCTCTGAGGCCGGCTCTGGCTGCACAGGCGGGGCCGTGCGTTATACGTTCAGCAGTTCCAGAAATTCGGGGAAGAAAACTTAGAAATGCAAAGGATGTAAAAGATTTTAGAAAATCGCATATATTTATACTGACATGCTGCTGCTAGTGTGTTGTAAATATTTTGAAAATTTTCGAAGCGTATTTGTCCCCACCGCCGGGTGGCTGTCCTCTCTGTCCGTGGCAGACAGGGCTCTGAATTCCTCAGTTTTGTGAGCAAACTACCTACTAAGTGCTGGAGGCCGTGTGCCGGAGGGATGCCCCCACAGCAAGGCGGCTGGAGAAATGGGGGGACCCCCCACTGGGCCCTGGGCCCCTTGACCCGCGTGGCTGACACTTGGGCTCCGAGCGCCCAGTTGTCACGTCTTCGGTCCGAGGCCTGGCTCTGCGTGCAGTTTGTGGTTTTCACACGTGTCATTAATGACAGGGAGTATCTGATTGGTCCTTGATTTTTCTGCTTAAAGATTTACGTACAGATTCGTGTTTCCTTTCTACACAATTTAAGTTGTTTAGAAAAAGGCCCTAATGTTGGTAAAAGGCTCAGAATGCAAGGCCCACGCAGTGCCAACACTTCCCTCTTTTGTCTCCTTAGAACCAGCTTACGATTAAAAGAAGAGTTGAAGATGGAGAAGAAATCTGGGTTTTGGGACAATTTGGTTTTAAAACAGAATTTACAGCCTAAGAAGCCAGATGAGATTGAAGGCTGGGAGCCTCCCAAACTCGCTCTGGAAGACGTGGCGGCAGAGCCGGGCGAGGGCCTGAGCAGCCGCGCGGCCGGGCCGGGCTGGGAGGAGGGGCCCCGGGGCTCCAGCAAGTACACCAGCCTGGCCGGCCCGGGTGGCAGCTCCCGCTGGAGCCTCAAGTCGGCGGGGAAGCTGGTCGGCATCCGGCGCCAGAGCCGCGGCCACCTGGCGGACACCTGGGAGGAGCTCGAGTGACCGCGGCCGCGCGGCCCCGAGTGCTGCCCGCCACGGTCCGCCTCATGCTGCTGCTTTGCATCTCCTCGCGTTCAGATCCTTAGCGTTTGCCGTACCAGGGTGTTCTCACTAGTCTGTCCGGTTGTCAGTCTTTCCCAGATAAAGAGAGTGGGGTCCACGCTGCCGCGTTTCCCGTTTGGACTTCAGTCTCACACGCTGGGTCAGGGATTTCCAAGCCCCGTGACCGCTCACGGCTGCCGCCCTGGGCCTCCCCGTGAACTGACCCCGAGGGGTGGGTGTCGGGTCCTGCCCCGCGGGCGCCCGGCCTGACCCCCCCGCCGCCCTCGGCTGCGGCCGGCGGCTCTGCGGCCTGTCAGCTCCCCGCGGGGCGGTGGGTCCCGCTGGCAACGCCACGGAGCAGCTGAGAGCGACGCCCGTCCACGCACCCAGGGAGCCTGCAGGGGCCGCCTCCAGTCGTGTCTGACCTGGAAGATCAGACTGGCTCCTGTGGCGCATTTGGACGTGTGAAAGCAAATCGGCCCCTGGAGAAGCGGGGACGGCGCGGGGTGAGGCGCAGGTGCCCCCGCGCAGAGGCCTGCGCCTGCGGCCGGTGCGGTGGGGCTGCTCACGTTCAGGTTTTATTTTTACTGCTGGAATTTTAAATACTGATCTTTATTTTCTTCTAAAAATTTGCTCTTCTCTTTTGATTACAGATTAAAGAATGCTATAAAGTGTGGATCAATTTTAATAACTTGATAGTATTGTGATTTTGTTTGGAAAATATCAACCTGCTCGTTATAGGGGTAAAACTACATAAAATACTAGAAGTGCCTCTTTTCTGCAACACCCAGGGTTTTGGTTTGAGAATGAGACGTTGTTGTCGTTGCTGTTGTGTTGTCATGGCGACCCCAGCTCAGGGTCCCAGGGCAGCTCTGCCTGCTGCCTGGGAGGCCACGTGGCTGCCTTAGGCTGGTTCAGAAGGAAAAGTATCCTAGTTTTTGGTTACAAAGAAAACCCTCCAGGACACTGTGTGCTCCTCCGTAAGAAACACTGTCTCGAGTTGCTCAGGGTGCACTTTGGTGCTGTCTTATTCCCGAGGACCAGGCCGGACGCCTGGGGGCTGCGAGCATCTGCCTGTCGCCTGCTGTCCCTCTGGCCACCCGCTCCCAGTCTCCGTCTCTGTCATCCGCCAAGCAGGCCTGTAAACCATCTCTCAATCACCCCTCTCTCTCCTTGGCTTCTGTCCATCCACCCCTGTCCTTTTAAGAGAACACGGAGCTTACTTGACCGAGCCTTGAGGCAGGGACGTGTTTCCAGCGGCATCAGAACCGTGACCTGGTGGAAGGGACGTTGGTCCTTGGGGTGGAACAGTGGGGCTGAGAGCTCTTTCCTGCGGGCGCGGCCCACGTCTGTGGCGAGGTCTGTTCTGTGCCTGGGCTGGGCGTTCGGGGTGCGGTGGGGTGACACCTTCCCTGGCTCCGGGTTCTGCGGCCTGTGAGCGGCGGCCACCGACCTCGCTCGGCTGCCCGGCTGGCAGCACCGTGCTTTGCGGTGCCGTCCCTCGCGGCCAACGGCACAGCCGGGTCGGGGGATGCGCTGCCGATCCGCTGCTGCTCTGCAAAGGCTGCAAAGTCGTGTTCTTCTGTCGTATCTGATGAAATGAAAGTAGCTGTTTGTGGGTTTCAGTGTAAGTATGCATTGGTGTGCCTCGGGAGAAAAATAGTTACCAAAGCGACTTTTCGTCACAGGCTGAGGGAGAGGAGGGGTCCATTTGGGGGTTGCGTTTGAGTTCCGTGTGCAGACGGCGTCACTTTGAAAAGCAAGGCGTCTGTGCTCCTCCCGACGTTTCCTTGTTTTGTAACATGAAAGTGCTGGCTTCAATCACCGTACAGTTCCCCCTTGATGCTGAGATTTTTAAAAAAATAAAACTACCATTTATACCGTTTCTCCTTGTCAGTCGCATGATTGGCTGTTGGCACCTGGGGGTGGGTCAGCGCCCGCGGCTCTGACCTCTGAGCTAACGCGCTTTTCTCGTCACTTCAAACCTCATTTTAAAAAGCAAACGATACTGGTAGATGTTTTGTAAATAAGTCACCGTTTTCCACCCGAGGTTTCGGGGCGTGCTCGGCCTGTGTGGCTGCGCCTCTGCGGCCGTTCCTGGGGCTGGGGTGCGCCCCGGGCAGGCCCCCTGACGGGAATCGAGCCGGAGCCTTCGGTTCTGGGACAGCTGCTGCCGCGCGGCCTCTGGGGTTTTACTCCACGGGTTGGTTGAGCTGGAGCCTCCCCAGCACCGCTGAGAAATTGAGTGTCTGGTGATGCTAGGAATACAATGTATTCATCCGTACCCTCTCGGAAGAGTCTTTACCTTCAGAGGAAAGTCTGTTTTGGAAGCAGGGGCTCCTGGGAGGAACAGCCGCTTCCTGTGAGAACCGGGGAACCTCTCGCCAGCCGCGGGCTGGGACTTCTGGGCGGAGGCGGGGGCACCAGGTGGCTCCCACAGAAACAGAAAAGGTGGTTTGCGTGTCGGTGGCACCTGCTGCCTGTCCCCGCACAAGCCCTTCGCCCTGGTTCCCACACTGACAGATGCTCGGGGTGTATCTGGCCTCCGACCTCCGGTTCTTCAAGAGGAAGCTGGTGGGGCCCATGAGGCTGGCGGGGAAGTCGGGGCTGGGAGAGGTCGCTACAGGCCCCCCGGGCGGCCCCAGGGATGCACCCCAGCCCGTCCCTGAGCTCAGCTCTGCAAGAGCCCCGCACTGCGGCCGAGGCTGCCCTTGGCTGAGGACCCGCAGGGACAGGCCGTGAGCGCAGTTCAGAAGCCCCGAGAGGGCAAGCCGTCGGGGGGCACACGGAGGGAGTGGCTTGCCAGAGGAGCAGTGCGCCCCCATCTCAGTAGCAGCGGGGGTCCGGGGCGGCCGCGTGTGGCGGCCAGCAGCTCTGTGGCCAGCGCGTGCTGGGAGCGTGGAGTCCACAGGAGGAGGCCGCGTCACTGCACAGGCCAGAAACTGGGTGGATTAGAGTTTTGGAGCCATTTCCATGGCAACAGCAGCCCCTTTAGGACTTGGTCTGTGCCTGTGTCAGATGAGTGACAGTTAAGTGAAGAATTAATCGGACCGATGCCCTAAAGGAGCCTTGTTAGTGCAAGTGGATAAAGGGACAGGGCTCCTCCCTGGAACTGACCATTCAAATCTGCCAGCTGCCCAGCGGCAGGGCTGGCCGCTGGCTCCGCAGGTCCACTCCCTCGTGCCCAGGGCAGGTGGGCGGCACCGGACACGGAGGCCCTGGCGCCGGGCAGCCCCCCCGACTTCAGCAGGAGACGCCGGCATTGCCAGCACCGGTCGCTCTGTCCTCGGCGGCTCTGAGGGACCGGGGCGCCCGAGTCTCAGACCGGGGGCCGCGTTCGTTCCTGGGCGAAGGGCAGAGCAGCGGGCGTGGCAGCTGGAGGCCGGTTGTTCCGGAGTCTTTGTAACTGACCCGGTGCCTTCAGTTTGGCTTATTTGGGGGGACAAGCATTTCAATGTTAAAAACCATTTTATTATGAGAAAAATCAGGCAAAAGCAGAAGGAATTGTGCAGAGGGCACCTTCCAACTCTGATTATTTTTGATTCTTCTGGAATTACTGCTGTTCGATGTAATTACCTTAGTCAAAGCTAGTGTTGTACTTTTAGGGAACCATGTATATAATTTTTTAAAAGTGCACTTTAGGTAAGTTAGAATTTTCAAGAAAACTGAACAGATCTGGAAGTGGGGAGTGAGAGGAAATACCAGTCGTTTTGCGGTTTTTTGGAGAAGCAGGTTTTTCCCTCGGAGATCAGGCGCCCGACACCCTCCCCCTGGGGGCAGGTGGCTCCCCCTGAGTCGCGGCCCCGCGGGGACCCTGGACCCCAGCAGGCGAGAGGAGGGCGCTGCACCCACCTGCGGAACTGCTTCTCTCGCTCTGTCTGAGAGCTCACCTCTCCCAAGAGTAGCAGGAGGCAGAACATGGGACACATTGGAACGACAGATCAAAATATGAGTGGTATTTAAATCATTTTGTGTATTGGCTTAAGGAAGCTTTTTACGAACAGCAGGGTAAGAAGTGCAAAAGGCCCCATCACCTGACTTCGTAAGTGGAAACTGCCAAACGCACAGAAAATGCAACGTACAGACCCCGAGTCTCGACCGGCAGCCCACCAGCCTGTGTCTGCGGGGCCCGCCCACAAGGAAGTTTTACATTTTTAAATGGTGGAAAACTTAAGCAAAAAAAGTATCAGTAACACACCAAAAGTACGTGCAACTCACGTGACCAAACAGTCGTGATTACGAACATGCTGGAGCCAAGCACCAGCCGCCTGCACAGGCACACACGGCAGGAGGCAGCGCGGCCCGGCCGTGACCCCCGGACCGCGGCGCCCACGTCCAGCAGGGTCACGGCCGCTCCCTGTGTCCCTGCCGACAACGCAGGGACGGCCCTTGCCGGTACGAACAGGAGGAAGAGGAGGAAATGCGCCCCGTCCCGAGGCAACCCCACTCCGGGCGACAGGAACAGCCCCTCCCAGAGCCTCCGAGACCAAGGCCCCCCGTCCACGTGCAGCCCTGTGGCCTGCAGGCCCGCCAGCCAGTCAGGAAAGAAACGAAACGCATGGCTCCAGGGCAGCCTCACTGCCGGAGCGTCCCCCCCAACCCCCCCCGCCCAGAACCCCCGGCTCCCGGCTCCTACAGCCCAGGTCGAAGGATGAAGGACAGACAGTGAGGAGGCCGGACCTGGGGCGGCGAACACGTGGTGCCACAACAGGTAGAAGACAGGCTACGGAGTCGGAACCCAGAAACCTGCGTAATCGTATTAACCAGTGTCACCCTAATAAGTTCAAAAATAAAAAAAGGAGGATCCTCAGGACGCCGCCTCCACCCCACGTGGCGTCTGGTCTCCGGCGAGTAGCTCCCCGTCGCCGCCTGCGCCTCCCTGACCCCCCTGCGCCGCACCGCCTGCGCCTGCCGCCTGCGGCCCTGGGTCGAGCACCCTGCGTGGCCCTGCCCCGGGGTTCCTGCCAGAGCAGGGCAGCTCGGCTCCTGTCCTGACACCACGGCGTCGTCACTGAGGGTCGAGAGCTGTGACTCCGTGAGATCAGGACCCGCTCAGAAGGCGGCCTGAGCCCGGCTGAGGGGCGCGGTGGCGGGAATGTCGGCCCGAGGCGCCCGGGCTGCGAGTTCTGTCCCCCGTCGGGGCACGCGCCAGGCTCGGCCAGCGGGGGCATAAACCAGTGGAATAGCAGGTCGATGTTCCTTTCCTTCTCTGAAAGTGCGTCAGTGGATTTTTTTTAAAAATAAAAATTAATACAATACCAAAACCCCAAAAGTAAAACAGGCAAGGAACACACATGAGGTGATTTAGCAAATACAAAACAAGAACCGCGGGCCAGTAAAAAAAGAAACTTAACCCTCACCATCCGTTCCCGACTTGTTAAAACAGCACCAACAGCACGAGGAATGGCCATGATGCATGTGTCATTGTTTAGAAAGATTATTACGCTCTCTCCCCTCACGGGCCACTTGGAAACACCCTTAGAAACTGACTTGTCCCCTCGTGTATCCCTCTCGGTCTCCTAAGGACACAAGCAGACACACAAGAGTTCATTATGACACTGCTTGTCACAGGGCTACTCTGTGAACAGCAAAAATCAGAACCTCCTGCTTGTCCCGTCGCTGATACTGTGTAGCCCACAGAAACCACGTTTCCACAAATGCTTCCAAGAGACAGGCTGGTCATGAAAGGCAGGCAGCATCGAGGACGCTGCCGCTCACGAGGGCCGCGCTCCCGGACCCTGGGGACACGCGGGGCCGGTGAGAAGGCCTCCTTGGCCGGCAGGGCCTGTTCGGCACGGAATGAGGTGTGAAAATCCAGAATCACCGCTGTTTACCATAGACCAAGCTACACAGTTTACTATGCTTAGAAGGAAGAGGGTAAAGGGAGGGGAGCAAGAGTCTGCATGGCCCTGGCTTCTGTGAGCTCAGGGGCGGGAACACGCAGCGACACCCTGCCCCCCCGACAGCCGGCTGGGGGGCGGCGGGGGGGGCCGGCGGCTGCAGGGCCCGCGACGGCGGCAGCTGGTTGCCTTTGGGCAGCACGGTGATGGGCGATTCTACCTCGTACTCATTTTCTAGTACGGCCGTGCGTTATTTTACAAACAGAACCACCTTCTGAAGGTTTCAAAGGTTTCGATAAGTGATATCAAAGTCCCCACCTCCACTCTCTTCCGTAAGATGAAAACGGACAGAGTTCAGTTTGGAGTGAACCGATTTATTGTCTATAAAAGGCGCTTTAGCCCTGAAAGGCCGGCTGCTGCAGGCTGCCCGAGGCGCCACGCCCCGCAGCCGCCTGTCCCTCCACAGGCTGCAGAGGCCCCGGCGCCCGGCGCCCGTGCGGGGAGGGCGCAGCCCCGCCCTGACTCCTTGGCTGGTCACAGGGACCCGCACAGTCGCCCAACACCAGACCGGACCCGCAAGTGTCTCCTGAGGTTCGTTCTGCGTTCAGAGAGGACTCATCGGGGCACTTCCCGTGCAGTTAACACACATCTTCAGAAAAATAAACATTCTGCACAATGTTTTTACAAGGATTGTGGTTTTGTCCCCACCCCCAACGACTGCAAAATTGGGAAACCATCACATGGCAATTAAGCACATTATTGGCTGTTAGTGTCCGTTCAGCACAGAACGTGGAGCTGAAAATCTAGAATCTTTTCTGAACCATATTTCTAAATACGCAAAGTTGCAAACTGCCATATGCTTAGAAGAAAAGAGTTTCTTAAGGAAGTTGAGATGATTTGGCCGGGGTCCCCTGCGTCCCCTGCCCAGGCGCGTGCCCCACCCCTGCCGCCAGCCCTCCGTCGCGGGGAGCACCTCCTGGCGCCGCTGGCTCCGGGCCGCGTGGGGCGCAGGGCACCTAAAACTTGAAGAGGTCGATGAAGTGCTGCGGGGACACGGGCGTGAGGCAGCTGTCGGGGTCGGCGGCCGTGCAGGGGTGTCCCGAGTCCTGCGGGCGCAGAGAGAGCGGGTTACGTAGGCCGGCCCCCAGCCGCGAGCGCGCACGGCCCCCGGGCCCACGACAGGGGCGCTCAGACTCGGAAACGAGGCGGCACGCGCCGCTTCTCGGCGCAGACGCTTCCCGGAGCACTTCCGCCCAGGTGGATGGACGGCGGTGGCCCAGAGCGGGTCCCTGGCGGCCAGCGCTGCGCCGGGGATGGTGACGCCCCGGTCCTGCCGCCCTGGCCCCGTGCGCTGCCCCCGGACCACCGCCCGCACTCCCACAGCAGCTGGTGGTGCAGGTCCCGTTTAACGGGAACATAGGTTTTATGTGAGAGGACGGACAACCTGCAGAGGACGCAGTGCCGGACGACTGTGGCCAGCGGGGTCGGAGGCCACGTCCGGTGGGCGCGTTCCCTGCGTGGCCGTGGCCGGGCGTGGCCACCCCAGGGACTGCATGGGGCCTTTGCCCGAAGGGAGTTCCGCCGGACACGGCCGGAGCATCCCCTGAAGGCTGAGCCTTTGCGTAAGTGCGGGACTTGGAAGCATTTCATAAAAACCCTTTGGTGGCGGCTAAAATGGGCAAGACCCTCCCAGTCTGGCCGCAGGCCCCCCGGGGCCGCGCGCCGGCACTGAGGCTGCCGCCCAGGCGCACGGCATCCCGGGGGCACGGCCGGGGCAGGTGGCCGCGGGGTTCACCACGAGCAGGGCAGGGCAGGGGGGGACGCGGTACCTTGAACAGCAAAGCAAGGTGGCAGTCCTGGGGTGCGAGGACAGGCCGGAAGGAGCGCAGCAGGGAGGGAAGGGCGAGAGGTTAGCAAGTGCCGCTGACGCACACGAGGACAGCCACCGAAACCGCCGGTGACGCTGGGCGGTGGCGACGGTATTAACGCAGGCACACAGGGCCCCAGCGAGTGCCCCAAAGACCCGTGACGCAAGGGTCGCCTTCAGACTCGGGCACACGGTCCACGTCCCTCCCAGAGTCTCGATGGACAGTGACGAGGCCGCAGGGGCTCCCAACCCTCAGGGTCATCAGAAAGGGCAGGGCAGAGCTGGCGTTTCCACACGTGGCCGGCACGGAAAACCCGTCTAACGTGTTTCAGGGAAACTCCTCCGTGGGCCTGGGCTCACGTGTTGGCCCGGCAGCCGCTCAGGTGCACGGTGGGGACACGGTGCCCACGGCCACAGGCTGCGGGTGTGTTCTCTGTCGCTCTTGCTCGTTATGAAACGCCCTCTGCGCCACCGCAGAGCGTTGTGCAGGCAGCCCCCGGCGCCTCTGCCCTGCCTGCGAGCTGCACGCAGCACCGCTCTCGGCGCCGGGACGCGCTGCCCGGCGGGCGGCTGTGCCATCGGGTCTGTGATGCCCACAGGGACGAGGTCACCTGGTGACGTTTCTTACAACATCTCCTTGTTAAGTGACGCGTTGCTACATGGACAAGGGGGTCTCCCAGGGTCACGGCCGGGCTCAAGGCGAAGCCCAGACTGCGCCGGGAGACGCGGCTTTCCCCAGAGAGGAGGCCGCGGACGACCCGTGCACGTGTGTCCGAGGTGGCCTGGGCCGGGGCAGTGACACGAGGGCCAGGAAAGTCTTGGGAAGGAGATTTCCCGCGGCCTCTGGGGGCGGAAATCGCCGGAGATGAAGTCTCCAGGTTTGGGGTTCGCACTGAAAGGTCGGGCGTGTGGGTGAGCCAGCAGAGGCGGGTCCAGTTGACCGAGCCCAGGAGAGAGCACACGTTCCCCGTGGAAGCCCCGCACCCACTGTGGGGTCCGGGCGCCGTGGGGGGCAGGGCTGACCCTGAGGGCGTCAGAGGGCGGCCGGGGACACTGAGGGTGAAGGCCAAGCCCGGGGGCAAGCAGCGGTCTCCCTTGTTCTCAGGCCAAGGGCTCCCGGGAATGCCGCCAGCACGAGGCCCGAGGGCGCCGGCCAGGCCTCCCCTCGGGGACGCGCCCCCCCAAACCACAGGGCGGTTCTGCACTCGTGAGCCTCCTCCGCTGCCCCCGTGTCTGGCCACATCTCCCCGCCCCTTCCTTGGCTCCCAGAAGCTCCCGTCCGTGACCGCTGCCCCGCCCGCGCCCCGCCCGCGCCGTCACCTTCCAGAAGAGGGTGCTGCAGCGCCGGCAGAAGTGCAGCGTGTCCCCGTACTGCTCCCGGGCCGGGTAGCACTTCTGCAGCGCGAAGTACGTCCGCTTCCACTCCACGTGGCCCTTCTCCGAGAGGATCAAGTGTCTGCAAAACTGGACAAACACAGCTGCTCAGGATCCGCACGAGTCGCTGTGGAGTGTGTGGGGGGCAAAGCTGCTTAAGGAGGCAGGTGGTGCCTGAGACACGGAATTATTGGAACTAAACTTGCTGGAATAAATCGATAAGGGACTAATCAAATACACAACGTGTCTGTGCGATGGAACGCCACACAGCCGTTAAAACAAGTTTAAATATCCAGACCTGGAACGATGCCCAGGAAATGTTATTAAGTTGAAAATATGGCTGTCCACCTGAAAGTGATATGATATTGTATGTCAACCGCAACTGAAAAATACATTTAAAAAATGGTAAGTCACACACACACCATCTATCTGACGAGGGACTCGCGTTGAGAACACACGGAGGACACAACCCAGCAACGCGAAGGCAGCCCAATTAAAACATGGGCAAAGGACCTGGGAGACATTTCTGCAAAAATACACAAACGGCCAAGGATGCTCAGCATCCTGGTCCCCAGGGGACCGGGACAAGCGGCCACTTCGCACCCACGAGGACGGCGTGACCGTCGCGAGGCCGTGACAAGCGCCGAGGAGGGGCACTGGCTGGCGGGAGGGGAGACAGGCGGCCGCGGCGGACGGCAGCCTGGCGGCTCCTCAGAAAACGAGCGCAGGCCCCGTCAGACCCTGACGCCCGGCCCCGGGTCTGCGGCTGGGAGGCGTGCGAGCGAAGGCCCCTGCAGAGCATCCAGGAAGGGCTGCGCGGGCAGCGCCGTAGCATGAGTGGCCACGGGGCGTCACGCGGCGAGAACGCAGCCCACTGCGTGGGGCCCGCTGCCACGGCTGCACTCGGAACGTCCGGGGCAGAGGGGGCCGGGGCGGCGCGGGCTTCACGGGGCTCAGCCACGTTATCGATGCGCCCCGACAGGCCCGCCCAGCCCAGTCCGGGGGCACCTTCTCAGGCCCTGGGGACCCCGCCCGCCACTTCCTCGGGGCCTCACCTTCTGCCTCGGCTCCCGGGCTGTGCAGATTGAGGACCCGTGCGCCCTGAAGGCCCACCGCGGGCCAGACCTTGTCTCATGAGCGCCGCTCAGCTGCGGGCCTGGGGCACCTGCCAGGCCCCGCGGCCTCCGCCCCCATCCCCGCTTTCCCTGGGGAGCCCTGCGGGCGCCCCCGCCCTGCCTGCCGGCCTCAGGCTGGTTCTGTCCCTGCCTCCTTCCTCGGCGCAGCAGGGATGGAGAGGAGAGCGGCCGCCGCTGCTGGAGACCTCGGCTGCCCGAGGTGACAGGCCTTCAAGGCAGGTGCTGGGTGGGAGCGGGAGGCCCCGTGGTGACGGCGGCTCACAGCCCTGCCCCACAGGACGAAAGCTCAGTCCTGCCTTTCGCTTCGGGGCGTTTGGCAATCACGGCGTTTTCGGTCTGAACAGCAAGGCGTACGAGCTGCCAGAGGGAAACTGTCGCGATTTGAATAAACCCCGGCACTGCTGCTGCTGGAAACGGCCCCCGCGGCCCGGCCGGGCCGCCGCACGCACCTGCTTCTCGGCGAAGTGGTACTGACACAGCTTCCGCCACAGCCGCCGGTCCTCGCTGAGCACCGACAGCGCAGGCGTCACCTGGCCCAGGGTGACGACGTCCCAGCCGTCCGACAGCCGGTGGAGGATGTCGCTCAGCGTGTGCAAGGGGAGGTCGCTGAGTGTGAGGCCGTGGTTCACCTGCAGGCGGGGAGCGGGGCACGCGCCTTCAGCCCCCGCACGCCGGCCCCACAGAAACACAGCCCCCGCCCCCACGGCAGCTCAGGGGGCACGTCGCACCACGGCGGCGGGAAGCGGAGGGGCCAGCGCAGGACGGGGCTGCTTTGAGGTGACAGCTCCTCCGTGACCATCCGCACAAGCCAGGCGCGTTTACCAGGCGGTGACACGTGAACCGACACCAGCTGCCCAGGACACTCCGCAGGCCGCGCAGGTGGCGGTCGCCCTGTGCCGCGCTCCAGCCCCTGCAGCCTCGGCCTGGGGCAGGTCCGGTCCCGGATGCAGCTCATCTGCCCCTGAGGCGCCTTCGAGCTTGAATGGCTGGGATGCAGTGATTTCGGATTTAAAGCATCCCCTCCCTCCCTCGAGCGGGTGAGTGAACACATGCGTTTGTCCCTCAGGGAGGCTGACGCCGCCTGTGTGCTCGCCCGAGGGCCCAGTCCGAGGGGCTCAGGGGCGCCAGGGACAGGAGGCGCCCCCCCTCCGCCGGGCTCACGCCCCGTCCCTCAGTGACCCCAGGAGCAGATGTCTGCGTGGTCCTGCCCCGCTCTCTGCGCCCGAAGGCCGCCATGTCCCCGCTTTGGCAGTGACGTACAGGCATCTGTACCAGCCCCCGGGAGCCAGTCCACACCTTTCAGGGAGCAGCTGACTGGCCAGCTTGAAATCAGCCACAAGGGACAATGCTCCAGCAGGACTCTGCCCCCAGAGCGGGTCTGAGTCACTGCCCTGCGCCCACCGCACGGGCAGCTGTACTCCGCGAAGGCCCCACAGCGTCACGGCCCCCCAGGGGTGAGCTGCACGCGCGCCCCTGTGTGCTCTGGGCCCGCACACAGGGCCCCCTCCCGGCTAACACCCGAGGCCCTGAGCTGAAGCCACGTCCACGGACAGGCTGCCCTGCTGGCTTCTCCCGCACCAGCCACACGAGGGACCGGGGACCCGGGGCGCTCACACGCCCTGGCCAGTCGTGCCCAGGCCCCCCGGCAACCACACGCCCCGCGTCTGAGGGCGACGCATCGTGGGGCGGGCCTGCACCGGGAGAGCGTCAGGGGCAGCCGGACGGCGAGTCTGTGTGGCGCTGCCGACAGGTGGCACGTCCTCCCCGAGACTCAGACCCATGGTCAGGGGACCACGTCTCCATAAATCCCGCAGGGAGATGGCAAACAGATGGCCAGCCGTCCCGGTGCCCCCGGGGCTCCTGGGGCCCCAGGAGACACCTGATAAAAGGGGACGATTTGTAGCCCGGTTCACCCCTGAGGCACCGAGAGGCCTGAGCCGTCCGTCCTGCCTCTTCCAGACAACAACGAATAAAGCACAACCGAAAAGCGCTTGCTTCGGTGACCAGGGTAACATTTTTCCTGCCGACGTGAGTCAGCAGATGAACGACCATGTCAGACTGGCACCCTCTGTGCCTTTGCCCTCGCTCACTGCGGCCAAGGAGCGGTGACCGGACGTGCAACCCGCAGCACCCGGGAGACGGCTGGTGGGAGGGGGGCCGCGAGGGGCGCAGGGGGCTGTGCGGGACCACCAGCCCGTACTGGCAGGGCGAGAACACCCGATTCCCTTTGGAGGTAACTTAGTTTACTACCTTGTCACCCACAGAATCAGCTCTTCCCGGGAACAGCTATAACCCACGAAGGGTCTTTGGTCTTAATCCACCTTGACACAACGCTATGAGGAGGTCGTGCCCTCCGTGACGGACTCATACCTGCGTCACCTGAAGGTTCTGCAGCTGCTGCTGCCAGGCGAGGATGGTGTCCAGCCGGCAAGCCCAGACGTCGATGTTGCCGACCAGCACGGACTTGCCGACGCCGCGGAGCAGGGCGCCCAGCGTGGAGCTCAGGTCCTGCAGCAGGTCCTTGATGAGGCGCGGGTTCTGGTGGTCCTCGAGGACTGGAGGGGACACAGCGCAGCGGTGGGTGGTCACGGGCCCAGCGTGCCACGCACAGGGCGGAGCCTCGCGCTGCCTCCGGAAGGATAGCCCGCCCGCCGCGCGCTGCGGCAGGGGTGAACCCTGACGGCGCGGGGCTCCGTGACAGTGGCCAGATCTGGGGGGCCGACGCTGTGTGACTCGCTGTGCGAGGGCCCCGCACAGTCGCCAGGCCCGCGAGGCGGCCGGGGCTGCGGCCGGGGGCTGCGTCTGGGCCGGGGTGAGTGTCTTGTGGGGACGGAGGTGCAGGCCGGGAGGATGGAACGTTCTAGAGAAGGACAGTGGGGGTGTTTGCACATGGTGTGCACGTGCTTAATGCCAGTGACCCCGAGGCTTAAAATTGAGTAAAACTGTTAATTTTATGTTACGCATCTTTTGCCACAATAAAAAGAGTGATCTAATTTCACTGCAACCCCAAATTGGCATGCTTCCGATATCACAAGTATAATGTGATTCAAAACCTCTAAAATGTTTCCTGACAGCCTGCCTTGGGCCAGGTCTACAGGTCTGACTCGCGCCTGTCAGTCTGTTTTCTTCGTCACAAAGAGAACTGACGTCTCAGTGGCTGTGCGTTGTCACACACTCACCTCCGGGCACACCCCCACGCCAGGAAATCTGAAGCTCCATTTATTAGCCACTGGGTGATGGATTCAAACATTAAATTAAAGGAAAAGTATAGGTATATTTGATGCCGAAGCAACTGAGCCCCGACTTTGCTGATCAGGGAAACATCCAGCGGCCAAAGGGAGATGTGACCAGCGAACCCCGCAGAGGTGAACGCCTTCCGCTTGCCCCCTGGCTACACTGTCACAACGTTACCTTTCTTACAACAGTGTAACGCGCTCCTGCACGTGCAAAGCAACTGTACAACCGTGAGGCGCCGTCCCCAGCACGGACGCCTGGGGGTCCCCGGACCGCGCGCCCGCTGGGGGACGGCGGGAGAGAAGCCCCCGCCTCACACTGCGCTTCAGTGAGACTTAAACAATTCAAAGTGCCAGTTTTCCTAAAGTGCTGGTCGTCCTCTCACCCTTTTGAACGATTTTGTCCAGAACGTTGAAGTAGTTCTTCTGAGCCACACCGCTCAGCGACGTTAGCTGGGACTTCGCAATGAGCTGCAGGAGCTTGAAAGAAAGAGGGACGTGCTGAGCAGGGGTCTCCCTCTCAGTGTCCTACGGCCGCGCAGGGGGCCGCCCTGCCGGCCCCCCCCCCCACTGGCCGAGGGTGCGGCCCCGCGTGTCCTGGGTTCCCGCCGGCACGGCCCCCCCCCGCCCCCCCCCCGGTGCAGACTCCCCCTGCACTCTGACCGGTCCTGCGGCTCTGCTTCCCCAGGGCTCCTCTCGGTCTGTCCTTCCGCGGACCTGTCACTTCCTGTCTCGTCCTTCAAAACTTGCAATTACTGTTCCTCTTCCGTCAGTTTTCTCATCGCCTCAGGGCTCCCTCCTGCCCCCTCCGTCCTCGCGGCCCGGCTTTCCTCCATCTGTCTAGGAGCTCACACTGCCTGTCTGCCTATCTGCCTGCCTGCTCCCCACCCCCTGGGACCGCCTCCCCCGCCGTGGGGGCTCCCACTCCCGCTGGACCTGCCCCCCTCGCTGGGACAGGCCCTGGTGCCCCGGACCCCGGCGCCCGGCGGCGCTCTTTGTCCTCCCTTGTCGGAAACCCTGGGAGGCTCTGGAGGAGACGCAGGGCCGTCCAGCCCCTCAGCCCGGGGCCGCCCCCGCCCCCCGCCCCGCAGAGAGGGCTGGTTCCAGGGACAGGGCTCACCCCGCCGCCCGCCTCTGCCGCCCGCCAGGCCTGTGACTTCTCTGTCCACCGGAACCCAGCCCACGGCTAAAGGGTCCCTCCCGCTCCTTGGTCCCCCTCGTCGGCTGCGTGTTCTTAAGTGTCCTCCTCGTGTGACCTTCGTCACGTGCTGAGTAGCGCCCCTTCCCTCCCACCTGCACTGGAACCAATGACGGACACAGACTTCCGCCAACGGAGGTTCCGAGCTGCGTCACTGCTGACGAAGGCTGGACTGAGATGTGACTGACGTGAGCCGGCAGCCACAATGGGCTTCAGAGGACTGACCGGGGGAGCCTCGCCACCCTGCTGCCCTGCACACTGTCTAATCACCAAAACCTTCAGGAAGCAACAGAGGGCCGCAGGCGGGACAGAATCACCAGGTGGCTCAGGGGACGGGGACAGGGACACCGGTGGCCACCGACGACCCCCCCACCAGTGTGCACTCGGCCCTCCCTGGACCAGGCCACCCCCACCCCGCTCTGTGGACCGAGCAGGGCCGCTGCCGGGAGCCGCAGAGCGGGATCCCGCGGTGAAAGGGTGACAGGCAGACATGCCTCGTAACACAGACCCCTGTGCAGGGCGACGTGTGCTTCCGGCTCCTCAGCTCCTGGCCGTTCCAGCCAGACTGTCGGAGCTCGGTTCCCGTGATGGGACCGGCGCACCCGTCGGCGCAGACCTCAGGAGGGCGGCTGTGGGGGGCCCCGCCCGGTGCCAAAGGACAGCGAGATGCCTGGGAGGCCGACAGAAACCGAGGGGCTCAGGGGAGACCACCTCAGGCTGAAAGTGGCCGCCCCCCAGAGTCTGTCCTGGTAACACGTGGAAGCGCCTGAAAGCCCTTTGCAGCCCAACCAGCGGCTGCAGGCGCAGCGCCTGCTCTCGCCTGCAACAGCAGGAGGTGAGGGAACCGCAGAGCAGGTGAGTTGATGCGAATCAGCGTGAAACACTCGTGGCCGAGGGCCTTCCCTTTTGCGTGTAGAACAAGACAAATTTCTTCTTAAAAAGTATCAGTAACACAACTGGCTTTGTGAGTTCTATTCTGGATGGATTTCCTTTTTTTCCACCAGCTCGCGTCCCCGTGAAGCAGCGCTCTGCTCTGTGACGCCGGAAGCAGGACACGCAGGCGACCATCGGGCAGCCCCCCGAGGAGGCGTCTGCGTCCCGGCCGCCTCCGAGCGCGCACTGCGCCCGCCCAGGGATTCGCGCGCCCGCCCCGTGCCCTGCGCCCCGCGCCCGCGGAGGCCCGTCCCGAGCTGCAGGGAGTCTCGGTTTTCCCCGGGACCCCCCGGCAGGCCTTCATTTTCCACAGCGAACAAGCGCAGCTTCATGCAGGAGCCACAGCGTCAAATACTCACTCTGACCACGTAGCTGAACCGGCGGACGTCCTGCACGGCGCTGGAGAAGTCCAGGCGGGTGAAGGCCTCCCCCAGCGTGCAGTAGCCGTGCCGCTGGAAAACACGCGGCCGTGAGCGCGCGGCCGAAGCGGGCCGGCTGCGCGCGGGGCGGGGCTGAGCCTGCACGACAGGGTTGTAAGTTCCGGCGCAGGGCGTTCGTTTGTACTGTGATTTAGTCCCTCCGTAGAGTGGAGGGAGATAACGCCAGGGCCAGCCAAAGCCGTTCACGGCGCGGAGACAGCGCGCGCTGACCTTCTCGGCCACTGTGGACCCAGCATTTAGTTATGGCCTCCGTTTCTCTTGTTGGGGCACCTCTAGTAGGAGGGCAAATTAAGCCTAAAGTCATAATGGAGGAGGGACTATTCTCGGCAACACATCTACAGACACACAAGTCCGGCGCTTTCCTGCCGTGAAGAGCACATACTCCCGGGCGTGGGCGGAGAGCGCGAGTCCCCTGCGGGGGTCGCGCAGGCCCGCAGGCCCGGGGTCTGCCCGTCTGGTCGGATGCGGCCTCGGGAGCAGGGCCTGCCCCGCACCTGGCCCCAGGAAGCCGGTAATCAGACCCTCAGGTACAAACGAAACCCGAGTCCCTCTCGCTCAGGAGGAGGACACCGCCCTGGCCGGTGGCCCAGTCGGTTGGAACTTCGTCTCACGGCCGCTGATCGGCGTCTCTCTCTGTCTCTCCCCGCCCCTTCCTCTCCCTCTAAAATCAGGAATCACGTCCACGTCCCCGTCCTCGGACAAGAATTACAAAGAAAGGAAGTGCGAGCGCAGCTCCCCCTCCAGACGCTTCTCAGTGATGCCCCGTGTTCTAGGTGGTTTGTGCAGGTTGGTTTGCACGTCAGGTTTCAACCACCACCAGAGACTCGATCTTCAGTATTTGAAATACAAAGAGCATAGGAAGAGACTTTCAATTCACAGTCACGGGGCAGACGGCCTGGGGAACGCGGCGGGGAACAGCAGACGTGGCAGGGGCGGTGCCACGGGAGACGCGCCTCGGGCTCAGGTGACAGGTGCCCGGGAAGGGCTAGTGTTTCGCTCCCAGTCCCTAGGCCAGTCCTGATGCGCGCGCACCAAGAACGTGCGGGCACGTTCCCGGGGGCTGTGGGGGGCAAAGGTCAATGTGACAGGGGATCTGAAATCGGTCCCCGCGGACATGCCCACTTTGCTGTCTTCTCCCTGAGCAGAGCTCCCGTGCCGGTTCCAGGCCTCCCAGGTGGCCGCCCGCCTCCCAGCAGCCTCTTCCTTTGGGGGATTTAAGTCTGATTCAGAGAGAGAGTGAACTGTAAAAGGCGTGTTTGAACGGCATAGGCAGGCCCACCCCATCGGGGCCGGAACCACGCAGGCAGGGCTCAGAGGGGGCGGGGGCTGCCGTCGGCCATGCAGACAGGTCCGCCCAGCCGAGAGGACAGCCAGCCTGATGCAGCAGAGACAGCCGGCGAGAGAAGCGCCAGCTCAGGTCCGAGTCCGGCTCCGTTCCCGGGCCTGGCCACACCCCGCTCCTGGGTCCACACAAGAACCCCAGACTCACGGTGAATTCTGCTCTGTTGCTGGCGCTGGCCTGAGCTGGATCTCTTTTCTGTAATCCGTGTGGCAACAGGTAGTGACCGAAATATTTAATTTCTTTTTTTGTTTGTTTTTGTTTTGTTTTGTTTTCAGGGGAGAGCGCAAACGCAGGCGCCCACTCCACACACTATGCAGCAAGTTCCCACGTCTGGGGAAGTCGCAAGGGCGGGCACCCCCGAGTGCAGTGGCCAAGCCTCGCCCTGGGGAGACAACCTTCGCCATCACGGCTCCCCCTGCCGGGCAAGTACGAAATGTCTAATCGTCGTCAATAAGCTCAGACTACGTTAAGCTCTGCCGAACATTCTTCTACGGATGCTTCCGACTCTGTGCAAGGGGTTAGAGTTGTTTCTCACACGTGTAACAATGTTAACCATCACTAAATGGGTGAAATAAGCCTTGTGTCAGAATCTAATCTTTAAGCTTCCAGGAAGCCTCATCCATTACTAACACGTCTGCAACACTGAATTCATGCTAACAGAATATATACTCAACAACTACTCCCTGAATTATTTCCCCCGGTTGCTGCAAAATAATGCAAATGCTGAGTTTCTCAGACTGCAAAAGCAAGGCAGCCTCCCTGGGTACTAGGTAGAGAAAAAGGAAATACACGGAGCTGAAATGAACAGGCTGTTTCATGGCTCACAAAGAAGCTTCTCCCATTTGGCAAAGGAAAGGAGGGAGAAGGTGCGTACAGGCATTGACAAATGTCACGTTAGCTACTTGAACGTCACGTTAGCTGCTTCATGTGTTAAATGAGGGTTTGGCACAGGTCTCGCTTCCCCACCCCCGCGGCCTGCAGCGCCCCCTGCTGGCACCGGGGGCGCTAACAGCTGCCAGGGACCGGGAGGCCCACTCTCTGGGTCCACAGGCGCCCTGGGACGCTGACCACACACACATGCACGTGGACACACAGTCACACACACAAGAGTCACTGTTTCAAACATCCCCTTTCTCCACCTGTTAGAATGTGAACTGCAGATGTGGTATTGCAACAGAAGTAATTTATTTAACATGACATCACACAGTCAACAGAAACAAGACAAAGTATACGCTTACTTGGAACAATACTTACTTCTCTAGTGCTTTCTTTATGGACATAGATCCATTTTTCACGATAAAAACCTAAAATAAAAATTAACTTTGTTTTTAAAACCCGGGGAATCATTTCAAGATGAAGATTATCAGGAACTTAAAACAGCTGCATATGCTAACAAAAGCAGCTGATGTATGGAGAGGAGGTGCGTTCCCTTCGTTAAATGTAAACAGAATTGCTTTGTATCCTGACAGTTTAAGAGGGTCTGAAGCATATCTTCACACAGCACCAATTCTTAGTAACTTAGAAGAGAATTACTGCTACTTATTGTAGTAATACGGAAACATATCATCATAAAAAATACAACTATTAATACACTGTTATGTAACTTATGAAAAGTTCTATTCTTCTGTCATTGCCTTTATATTGTATTCAATTTAAATTATTTTTTTCATGGAATTCAAATCCCAAAGCCTCGAGGACCATGATGGCTACTCCCCTAGGACCCACCTTCATCCCCAGACTGAACGCAGGAGAGCACGTCTCCCGACTCCCGCGCGGCCGCAGTGCGGGGCAGGGCCTGGCCCTCGGGGCCGGGGGGGCTGCCTCCAGCCGCACCCCCGCCAGGGGCTGACCCACCTCTGACCACCTCTGTGTCCTTCTCCAGCAGCAGCACCGCCTGCACAAAAGTCCAAAGTCCAGACGCCTCAGCCTGGGCCCCACTGCGGGGGAGTGAACTGATCCTGACCCCCATTCGGTCATTCAGAAGCGCGGGCTCTTTTGTGGGTTTTGCTACCTTTTGTTTTTGCAAATCTTGCTAAGAAAATAATTGAGCTGCAAGAAGTGCGATCACAAGGTCTGTGGGCGACGCTGGACGTGGCCTGGGATTGCGTGTTGGCGTCATCTTTCCTAAGAGCACCCTCAAAGCGCTTAGGAGGGACACACAGTGAAGGAAATGTCGCAAAAGTATCAATGAAAAAGATCTTACACTGAGTATTGCTGTCATTCCTGAAATGGTCCTTTTTCCTTTTTTTGGATGCATATCCATGCTCTTCATCAGTGAATGTTTCTTCATGTTCACTATTTAAGATTCTGAAATAAAGATACATTTTATTTAAATATCTTTATAGGGAGATCTTCATTTGGCTTTTCTTTTTAAAAAATAATAAATATTTGGTTTGTAATTTAGGAGATCGAAATAAAAATCATGTCCAATTCTGAAAGCGATCAGTTATTTTTCAAAGCAACACATCACAGTTTGACACAACACAGCTCATGTCTGTATTATATGTAATAGATTCTTTTGTTTTGAGAAACCTGAGATTTACCCTGGTTCTTTCGAGAACGTTACACTAGAAAGAGCCGAGCACGTGTCACAGTGACGCCCGGGTCTGATATGCTCAACCAAGGCAGCTTCAGACCTCAGAGCGTTTCATTAAAACAGGAGATGGTATCATACTGTAAACACCCTGGGAAAAAACACCGCGACAGTATGGTCCTCGACACGGTCCCTGGTGGGCCGAGCCCCCGCCGCGGTCTGTGTGGGCACCGGCCCTTGACGGCACGGCAGACCGGGCGGGCTCAATGGGCAGGCACAGAACTTCCCGCCCAAGAGCAGGCGCACACACACATGCTTGTCAAGCCACATGGGACATTTTCCAGGATAGATCATATGGTAGGCCACAGAACAAGTCTTTAAAAAATGAAGATTGAGCCCTGGCCAGGTGGCTCAATGGGTTGGGTGCCGTTCGAACCTTTGGTTTGCGGGTTTGAGTCCAGGCCAGGGCACCTGCCTGCGTTGGGGGTCTGGTCTGAAGTCGCCTGCGCACTAAGCGCACCCCACCGTTGCTTCTCTCACATTGCTGTCTCGCTCCATCTCTTTCCCCCGCCCTTCCCCTCTCTCTTAAAGAAACAAAGAAACAAAACAACAGAAAACCTGCCCTGGACCCTGGATCGGGAGGCAAATTTGGCCCTTGCCGCCTCGTGTCCCCTTGCTGACGGGCCTCACCCTAAACGCCTTTTCCCTTCTGGGAACCGGGGGCCACGGCCTGGGCCTCCGGGCGCCGGGCAGTGAGCCCTTGCTCGGTGACAAGGCGGCCTCTGCGGGTGGGCACCAGGCCATCTGCGGGCAAAGGCTTTAGCTACGTAACTCCTGTCCTCCCACCAACCCGTGTGTGGGCAAAGCTCAGCCAAGACACAGTCACAGAGCTCGCTGCGCAGTGACTTGAAAAATAGGCGGCACCGCCAGTTTTAGGCAGGCCGTTCCTGGCGCGCTCCGCCCGGCTCCGCGCCGACTCACACCCGGGGGCCTCCGTCCGGCCGCAGCGCCCCTCGGCCCGGCTCCTCGCTGCAGGGCTCACACCTCTTCCAGCCGTCGTCCGTTTTGGTCCAGCTCCACCCGGGGGACCGCCAGTCCTGGCCCAGGAACGGCATGGTCCGGCTGCAAACACAGTCGATTTGTGTCAGAAGGGTGTGGAGGCAGCACGTCTCCCTCCACTTCAAACATTGGCTCATTCATTTTTAAAACCTAAGTCCTTACTTGGTATTTAAAACCTGCACAGGCCTCAACCCCCGGCGGGCACTGGCGATACAGCGCTGACGGGAGCCCTGCGACGCAGGGGCACTAAGATGACGGGTGGTCGGGGCTGAGCGGGGCCAGGCAGTGCGGGCGCGCTCACCTGGAATCGGAGGCCGGGAGGGGAGGCGCGTTCGCGCGCATCGGCCCCACCGGCTCCACGAGGGCAGTGGAGGGTCGGGCTGAGGGCGCAGCCGCGCTCGGGGGACAGTCAGGGCAAAGGGCCCCGCGGGCCCCGAAGGGGCTTTCGGGAGAGCAAGCAGATACACCTGCGCTTTACGAAGACGTCGTGCTCGCACCGCCGAGAGCGGATCGGCGGCGGGGGGCGGGGCTGGAGGACTGTACTTGGGGCTGGAGCCGCGCGGATGCGTTTGGAAGGGGGACCTTGGCTGCCCCAGGAAAAGCGAGGGGAGGAAACGCCGAGGCGGCAGGGCGTCGGCCACCCAGGGGCTCCCAGCTGTGCGCTCTCGCTTCCGCTCTGGCCACGCTCCGAGTGGGGGAACCCGGCGACGAGCTCCGGGCTGCCCCAGGAAAAGGGCCAGGGCGCGGGCGGAAGCGGACGGAGGAAACGGCGCGGCCTTCGGGTTTGCACACGCCCGTTAGGTTTGCTAGGCCTGCGGTGGCCGCACGACGCAAGCTCCAGGCACAAAAATTAAGACTTAAGCCTGATGAGACGACACCTTCATGGCGCTTATGAACTGGTGGCAGCAAGGCCTCGAATCCTAGCTCTTCCATTGCCTTGAAATGCCGGCTCTGGCCAGCGGCTCTCAACCCCCGCGGGGCAAAGTCTTGGGGGCTTTCAAATCATACCAGGGCCCCATCGCAGGCCCCCTGCACGGGAGCGCTCGCGGTGCCGGCCGCGTCCTTTTTCTAAGGTCCACCGGCGACCACCCTGCACCGTGAGGGCCGCGAACGGCCTCAGGCGCCCTCACGACCGATTCGGACTGTCCCGGCCCCAGAGAGGCTTCTCGACCACCGGTTCCCACAGCTCGCGGCGCGGCCCCGCGTCCCACCGCGCGCCTCTCCGCCGGCGCCGGGGAGCTCGCAGCGCAGGCACCGCCCATCTTCCTCCGAGAAAACGCAGCGTCACGTTCTACTCGGTGACCCAGCGGCCTCGAACAACTGCGGCCCCGCACGGGAGCTCGGAGACACGGACGCACACACGCCCGGCGCGCCCGGGGCCGGGGAGAGCGGCAGGACGGGCAGCGGCCTCGGAAAGTAACGGGGCACAGGATAACAACACCGGGGCCCGGGGGCGCGCGGAGGAGGACCAGAGCGCCCGGAAAACCCCAAGGGGCGCGGGCGTCTACGGGACACGCAGAAGGTGAGCCGAGGAGGAGGCTGCGCGGGGACAGGCGCAGAGGGCGGGACAAGGGGAAGCCGAGAGAAGAATGTGTTTTAGAAAGAATCGATGTTTCCAGAGAGGATAATGTTACAAAGAAGCCTGTATTGTGAGAATTAAAAAGTATGCACTGAATTTAGCTCCAAAATATAAGTTGCTAATTCAACCAAAAAGTTTCAACAGACTGTTAAGTTAATCTCACGCCCGAAGCAGACTTGGCGTATTTCACGAAGGTGGAAGACGTGTGTAGTACATGAGAAATGCAAGGTTCAAATACCCTCTCCCAACTCTGTTTACTGTAACTAATGAAGGTTATTAAATGGGCATTAGGGGAGACAAAAATTTTCGGGAGGAAATCTAAGTCTTCAACTCTCGGTCAACTTACTACAGGAGCTCGGTTCCTGAACCGATACCTGAAATGTACGACGAAGAAATCTTCCTTTTTACCAAGATGACCTCAGAAACGTGCTAATTATAATCAGAACACGTTTGCAGTCATGTATCAATTTAACCTCTTGCTTTAGAAGATACTTAGAAACCTTTCCTTAAGTCTTACTTGTTTGTAATTGAATTTATTGGTCTGACACGGTCGGCAACGCGGCGCCGGCTTCGGGTGCGCAGCTCAACGAGGCGCCGTCTGTGCCCTGCGCGTGCGCTCGTCGCCGCGAGCGCGGCCCTTTCCCCTCCGGTTCCCCTCCTTTGCCCGCGTCCAGCTGCCCCCCTTTACCTGCGGCCATCACCTCTCTTGCCTGTGTCCTTGTGTGAGACGTTGTTGTTGTCTTTGCTTAACCCCTTCACCTTCGTTCATTCCGTCCCCCGCCCCCCGACCCCCGACAGCGGCCAGTCTGTCCCCCGCAGCGGAGCCTGTTTTTGTTTTGTTCATTGGATCCCACGAGTGGATGAGGTCACGTGACACCTCTCCTCTCGGACCGGCTCATCTCCCTCAGCACCATCATTTGCGGGTCTGCCCGTCTGTCGCAAAAGGGGAGACTTCCCTCTCTTTTTTTTTTTTTAAGGCCGAGTAGTATTCCATTGTGCAAATGTCCCATTTCTTACTCATCCACTGATGAGACTGGGGCGTTTCCAGGCCTTGGCGATGGAAGGAACGCCGCAATGAACATATGGGTGCGTACGTTCTTCTCATATTAGTGTTTTGGGTTCCTCAGGATCTATTTCCAGAAGTGGGATCATGGGGTTAAAAATGCAGTTCCTTTTTTAATCTTTCAAAGTATCTCCACACCGCCTTCCACAGTGGACGCACCGTCTGCATTCCCACCAACAGTGCATATGGGTTCCCTTTTCTCCACATCCTCGCCCCCACGTATCGGTTGTTGATTTATTGATTATGGCCGCTCTGACAGGTGTGAGGTGATATTTCATTGTGCTTTTAATGTGCATCTCTCTGATGATTAGTGATGTTGAGAATTTTTTTCCTGTGTCTGCCTATGTTTCCAGGTTTTCCTATGGGCCACCTGTATGTCCTCTTCGGAGAAGTATCTATTCAGGTCCTTTGCCCATTTTTTAATTGGGTTGTTTGTCTGCCTTCTGTTGAGATTTATAAGTTATTTACATATTTTGGAAATTAACCTCTTATCAGATGTATCATTGGCAAATACATTCTCCCATTCATTGGGTTGTCTTTTCATTTTGTTGGTTTCCTTTGTTACACTAAAGCTTTTTAGTTTGATATAGGTCCCATTTGTTTTTTTCCCTTTGTTTCCCTTGCCTGAGGAGATATATTGTTGGGGAAAAAAACGCTGTAAGAGATGCCTGAGATTTTATTTTACTGCCTTCATTTTCTTCCACGATTTCTATGGTTTTGACTTGCATTTAAGTCTTTGACATATTTTGACTTTATTCCTGTGTACGGTGTAGATTCGTGGTCTAGTTTCTTTCTTTTTTTCCCCCTGCAGGTAGCTGTCCCATTTTCCCCACACCATTTACTGAAGAGACTGTCTTTACTTCATTTATGTTCTTACCTCCTTTGTCAAATATTAATTGACCATAAAGTGTGGGTTTATTTCTGGGCTGTCTACTCTAGCCCACTGATTTGTGTGTCTGTTTTTATGCCAGTACCAAGATGTTTTGATTACAGTGGCCTTGTAGTATAGTTTGATATCAGGTATTATGATGTCTCCAACTTTGTTCTTTCTCAAGGTTGCTGAGGCTATTCGGGGTCTCTTGTAATTCCATATAAACCTGGAGTATTGTTCTAAGTATGTGAAGTATGCCATTGATATTTTTATAGGAATTGTGTTGGATCTATAGATTGCTTTAGGTAGTATAAACATTTTGATTAAGTATCCCAATCAATGAACATGCTGTGTGCTTCCACTTATTTGTATCTTCAACTTTTTCCTTCAGTATCCTATAATTTTTTGAGTATAGGTTTTTTACCTCCTTCATTAAATTTATTCGTAGGTACTTTTTGTTGTTATTGCAATAGTAAATGGGATTGCTTTCTTAATTTCTTACTAGAGTTCACTAATTTTGTATCCTGCTACATTTCCAAATTAATTTATTAGATCTAGTACTTTTTTGGAGTTTTTAGGGTTTTCGATGCACCACATCATGTCATCTGCAAATAACGAGTTTTACCTCCTCCTTTCCAATGTGGACGCCTTTTATTTCTTCCTCTTGTCTGACTGCTGCAGCCAGGACATCCAGCACCACATTGCATAAAAGAGATGAAAGTAGACACCCCTGTCTTATTCCTGATATTAAAGGAAATGCTATTAGTTTTTGCCCATTGAGTATGATGTTGGCTGTGGGTTTGTCATATATGGCCTTTACTACGTTGAAGTACACTCCCTCTCTTCCCACTTTGAGACTTTTTACCATAAATGGATTTTATTAAATGCTTTTTTGTATCGATATGATCATGTGGTTTTTATCCTTAATTTTGTTTATGGATGTATCACATTTATTGATTTGAGAATACTGTACCAACCTTGCATCCCTTGAATAAACCCCACTTGATCTCGGTTTATGATCTTTTTAATGTATTGCTTGATCCATTTTCCCAATATTTTGTGAGGATTTTAGCATCTATGTTCATCAGGGATATTGACCTGTAACTTTCCTTATTTGTAGTGTCTATATCTGGTTTTGGAACTGGGATAAAGCTGGCCTCTTAAAAAACCTCAGAAGTCTTTCCTCCTTTTGAATTTTTTGAATAGTTGGAGAAGGACATGTGTTAGTTCTTCTTTAAATGTTTGGTGACATTTGCCCATGCAGCCATGTGGTCCAGCACTTTTGTTGGCTGGGTGTTGGATTATTTGTTTTTGGTTGTTGCTTCCATTTCGTTAGTTGTGATTGGCCTACTCAGGTCCTCGGAGTCCTCCTGATCCAGTTTTGGAAGCGTGTGTGTCCCTGGGAGTTTATCCATTGGGCCCCAGTTGTCCAACTTGCTAGCATAAAGTTGTTCATGGTATTTTCTTACACTCCTTTGTATTTCTGTAACATCAGTTGTTACTTCTCTCCCACTTCTGATTTTATTTATTTGGGTTCTCTCTCTTTTCTT